AATCAATTTCTCACACCAAATCCACACACCTTTTCCACCTAGCTCTGCTAAATAAGCACGCGCACTCCCACGTACCTTGGTATTGGGCAGCTTGACATCGCACCAGCGGCCACCAATCAAGTGCCGCTGCGAGATGGCCTTCAACTGACTCTCGAACTCACTGAAGCGGACAAAACCAAACCCCTTCGAAGTTCCAGACTTGGCATCACGTTTAACCTGCAAAGGAGAGGAATCGTTAGATGTTAAACTAAAATGAGCGTGGGGGAACTCTTGCCTTGCGTATTTTCGCTAAAACCAAACCTGTAAATGCTCCATGATCTGTGCCTTGCAAAAGGAACCTCCATATATTACGTGCTGTAATTTTGGATTTTGGGTGATAAAACAATAAACAAAAGTTTGATTTGCAATGGAATTTTTTTCAAGTAACATTCTACTTGATCAGCCTGAAGAACCTGCCAAAACATATTAATAGTTTTTTTGTCTGACTGAGTTTGACAGTATAGTACAGCCGTTAAATGCTTCTTGGTTTTTTCTGCCTTTCAGGATACATCCACCGCTAGGTCCAGTGATGCGACAATCCAGCCGACACCAACGAGCGGATTTCACCGCTTCATCTCCGCGATGTTCCCTTTCTCGGTGACCATCGTTCAAAACCACGGGCGGTGTAAAGGCTAGCGACCCGTGTCCTCAAGCTCACTTTAATTCGCAGTCAATACCTTCAACTTGCAAATGCATTCCCTAGGTTTTAGGACACATTTGGTGAATAGAGGAAGTAAAAAAAAACCAGGACCACAAATTGTACACATTTTCCGGATGTCCAATTCAACCATCTCTCTGTCCCGCGAGTGGAACGTACCTGAACCATGAGCACGTCCCCAACCTCTGTAAAGTAATCCCTCAGGTCCTGCTCATTGCACTTCCACGGCAGCCCCAGCACGATGAGGTCGGACGTCTTCTGCACGGAGCGCTTGATCTTAGCCACGTTCCACGCATCGCTCTCATCCATCTTGCGTTTGTTGTCTACGCACGCACACACAAAACCAAATGAGCGACTGCTTGAGCTACGGTGCAGTGCAAATAGTCAACATATCCATCGTTAACCGATGGTGTGTCGCATGTTTATGCCTAAATAAACTCGGTAACTTTTTTCTACCTACGTGACTTTACCGAAATAACCCAAGAGTATGGATTCCTGCAGTCACGAAAGCTTTAAATCAAGATCGCCTTTGCAACAATTACATACGAGGTAGCCCCCGCCTATACTCGCTTCAACGCCCTTGCAGATGCATTCCCCGCGAGAGGGTTTACACGTTGAAGGCTGTGGCTCGGCAACTTGTACACCACACACGGTGGATTCGGGGCGTAGGCCGTGGGGAAATCCAGAGCCACGCGCTACAACGTGAGCGGAAACACGAGGCCTATCACACGCACAAAGACGTCGCGTACAAAGACTACCGATTAAATATAAATATTATAAAATGTAATTTGGAAACTCTATTAATATTATGACGTTTGCAATGTAATATTGCACGCGTGTTGTTCGCTTCGAACCAGGCGCAACCGAATTCGATTTCCCGATGAGGGCCCACATCAGTAACGATTTTATGAACATTCTGGAACCCTCATCTCCGGAGGTCTATTCATCCTCAAACGAGAGCCTGGTGCGATGTGCGCTATAATCGTTACTGGGGAGACAAAGGCGGCCGGGCGTAATTCTGGCCACACTCCACCACCTTGTGCATTGTACCCTGCCTCGTGTACCCCCTACAGGCATTCAAAGCTGCTCGCTAACGTCACTAAACCCCAGCCTGTAAAGACAACACGAGGCATATTGTCTTTGATAGCCCCCCGGAACACGTGTTCGAGAAACACCGCGAGGTGCTGGAGTTACCTCGTGAGTTGTATTCTGCGCAAATGCGAGGACACTGCTGTTATAATTCTCACAACTATGACAACAAAAAACGATACACGTTGCTATTTATTAAATGTGCACAAGTCCCTCCCGTATAACATCTCCTATCCTTTGGGAACAGTGGCGAGGTACAAGTTGTCGACCTATTGTTATGTATAATTGCAGTCGTTTTCGGCAAATTGTATATACATTTTGGGTACGATACTCGGTACACATTGCAAATTTGTGTACAATTGTACACGTTTTGAAACTCTGGTCCCCCCCCCCTTGGGGAAGGTTGACGATTTAAAGTCAAGTGAATTTGTTAAACCACGCCAGTACTCAAGAGGCAAGTCATCTCGTGATGTTGCGTTGAAAATTATGCATAAAGCACAAATAGCTAACTCACGATCTTCAAAATCGCTGTGGCCTTAAAAGGGAAAAAATAGGCTGCGTTTCGGGCAATATTCAACAGGTGGAGACTGCACATTATTCACCATGGGGCTCGATGACAAAAATTTGCAAGAGACCAAGAATGAGCGTAACCTGTGTCCGCAATTAAAAAAAATATTCCGAGCAAACCCAAGTTGCTTGCTGCGGAATCGCAATACAAATGCATATCGTACTCTAGGTACTCACTCCGCATCCGTTAACTCGACTCAAACGAGGTAAGTGCGTGCGCTGTGCAAACATCGCCACGAGGGAGGACAAAGGCGGCCGGCGTGTGCTGCCGCTCCCCCCCTCGTGTGCCGTGCTACATAGGTGCTCGCTAACAGCACTTACCCCAAGTCTATGAAGGCTACAAGGGAGATATTTTATTGTTTAAACCCCTCCTACGCAATGGCGGGAGGATGTAACGAGGCAATCCACATGGCCGACATTAACAAACAAACCGCGCATCACCGAAACGTAAAAAAAAACCGCTTCCTCTCTCATCTACCTCGCTCCATCTCTCTCTCGCTCTACCTCACCCTTGGGAAGGTGACGAGGTACACGTGGGATGCCCCAGGTCGCGGGCTCTGGCGGGTGGAAGCGCAACCCTCTGCGAGCCGCAGGCCGCGCAGGGCGCGACCCTCTCCCGCGCGGTAGCGAAGGCCGCAAGCGCCCGGGAACTGCGCGGCGACGCTCGACAGCATGCACGGTGCCGTCCTCCTCGGCGTGGGATCTCGATCGGGGCTTCCTGTCGCCCTCGTCCTCCGCAACGCGCACTGTACACGCCATGGTGTTTGCTGCTGTTGTTTGCTGCTGTTTTGCTGCTAAGCTTCACGCTGTCTGTAGCGGGCCGCTGGCTGCTGCTGCTGCTGCTTGTACATGGCGGCCTCGTGGAGGAGCTGGAGGCGGGAAACGGAACCGAAGCTGCGACTTAGAAGGGGGCGGGGGTCAGATGTGACCGGAGCGGAATTAATTGACCCCCCCCCACCACTATCCCCACCCCACCACTACCCCCCCCCCGCACCACTATCCCCCCCCCCCCACCACTATCCCCCCCCCCACCACTATCCCCCCCCCCCCCACTATCCCCCCCCCCCACCACTATCCCCCCCCCCCACCACTATCCCCCCCCCCCACCACTATCCCCCCCCACCACTATCCCCCCCACCACTACCACCCCCCCCACCACTATCCCCCCCCCCCCCACCACTATCCCCCCCCCACCACTATCCCCCACCACTATCCCCCCCCCCACCATCCCCCCATGTCATACAGAGAGGGCCTCGCTAATAAACACTGGCAGGGCACGTGGGTCGATTCAAGCAAAACCACCGACCTCCTTTGGCAAAGCAGGTCTAATGATGTAGATGCTCACCCCGAGCCCCCATTACTGTGATGGTGCAGCGTTGTCTTTGAGCTGTGGACGCCTTTTGGCGTCCTCTGGTCGAGCACCAATTTGGTCGAGGCTCAAAAGAAAGCCGTCCCTTTGTGTGGACCAATCAATTTCAAGGACAATGCATATATATTATCATAGTGTGATTTGTTTGCATTTTGACTGCAAGTATTGTGGTTAATGCAGACATGAATCCTTGTAAAAAGGTTTAAGTTTTGTTGCCAGAAAGAAGGGGAAACCCCTATTAATGTGATGAGGTTTTGTTGTTATTTCTGCTTTTGGCACCACTACCAAATCATGCAGTATCACCAAATAATTGGTTCACCACTTATCGGCAAACCGGTCGTCTTTTTGGTTTCCCGGTAGTTTTAATTTCATTACCGTTAATCCCCCCAAAATGACATTGTGACCCAGAACTGACATTCTCCCGGAATACATGAGATGAAACATTCCGTCTGGTATAGCCAGTCATCAACATGAGTGGAGGAATCGCAACGTGTTTTAAGGCCGAGTCCACCTAAACGAGGCCCAGGTACAGGTTGAAAATGCTGGATTGTTTCTCAAGGCATCCAGCCACCACGAGAGGGCGCCACTGAAAGCGAAATCTTCACCAATTTTTACTTTAAACACATTCCTCCTGCGGAGGGAGCTGGTAGGAACGTTGGGTTGCTCGGTCAATGGCCAGGGTCAACGGCGGCGTGGTGTATTCCGCAAATATGCCCGACTGTGAGGGCGGGCACAAGCCGGCGTGAGTAGGTTAAACGTTGAGTTTTATAAGGGCACCACGGGGTGACCAGCCCCTCCCCACCCAGCCCCACCCCCACCCCAGCCCCTCCCTCCCCACCCAGCCCCTCCCTGCACGACGGACACAATAATCCCCTGTGGGCTGGTGTAACCAGGAGGTTCCTACCAGTACCACATGTGCTTAACTGCAGACATGATTCCCTGCAAATGGTTTCGGTTTGGTGTTTTAAAATCTTGACGCCTGTTTCATTCCCAGGAAGGATTAAACATATTCATCTTCTTCCTCTTCCACGCATTTATCCCACTCACGTGGGGGTCCGCTAAAACGTGAACACTTTCGCACTTGAGAACGACCATTCTGCTCCCCATTGTTCAGGGAGGTGACGTCACTCCCCCAACACAGACAGAGGCAAAGACCACCCGTGTAGCCTGTGCAGACTGTTGTGGCAAGTGCTGTCAGCGAGTAGCACGTATGAAGGCACACGAGGGGGTGGGTGGCCAGCACCACGCCCGGCCGCCTTTGTCTCCCTCGTGGCAATGTTTTTACGCACAGCACCAGGTACTCATTTGAGGCTGAGTCGATCTAGGGGAGGCCCAGTACAGGTTCAGATAATCGTCACCGGTGTTGGCCGTGAGCGCGAATCGAACTCGGGTCGCCGGGTTCGTAGCGCTAACTACTACACTACATCGCTAACTACTACACACATCACACACATTCATACACATACCACTCACCCACCCACGCACAACACTCCCACCCACACATGACACTGACTTTGAACAAGCGAGACAGACAGAGAGAGAGAGCCTGCCAAGCGGCTGGGGGTGTTCCACAGCACAGAGAGGACGATCGCCACTCGCCTACGACACTAGGCATTCGTGTACAACGCGTGTGACACTGCACGCACGCTGTGTGTGTTGAACTTCTTTCACGCCGTACGTAGCCAACCGTGCTAATCGGAGGTGCGTGCGGAGTTGACAACAACAACAGCAAGACAATTCTCGGCCAGCAGACTGCAGGCGAACGTAGCGTGCGTTCGCGTGAACACGACACACTTATTTCTCGCAAGAGACGCGTCTCATCAGCAGCAGAGCCATGCACGAGTTCGCTTCGCCTGCTCTCTCGGTGCCCCTGCTTCTCATCTTCGTCCTCCTCCTCCTGCTGCTGCTGCTACAGAGGAAGAACATCTTCATCACGCGGCCCTATCGCTTCCCCACGGGGCCCCCGATTCTGCCCGTGTTGGGCAACTTCATGTGGATGGGTCGCAATCCTGTCGCAGGGTTACAGCAGGTGAGAGACTGGGATGGTTTCGGGACTGGGCTATTCCGATTGTTGGAATTGCCCTTCGGGTTGGCTTTGTTTTTAACCGGGTGAGTATTCAAGAGTGACGTAGGTAAAAAATTAAAATTAATAAAAGCTTGTGTTGCCTCCGAAACGTCGTGATTTTTATTTTATTTGTATTTTACTTTTATTAATTTTAATTATTTTACCTACGTGACTTTACCGAAAAATCCTAAGAATATGAATCCTTGCAGTCACGAAAGCTTCAAATCTAGAATATTCAGGAGTGGTCAGGATAGTCGTGTG